ACGTCGCATTTTGAGTGAATTTCCACTATCGTGTTAATGACATGGGCTGTTATAGTGCTGATGATTTCATGAGGTAAATAGGAGGTTATAGATGAGGAAATAGGCAGCAGCAATTTTTGTTGTTATTCCATCAAGATCAGAAACTAGTGAAATGATCACAAAAAGAAACCAATCCAGAATGACTTAAGGGAATCAAGCTGATGAGATATTTTTTAAGATTCTTTGCAAACCGCCATCAGACAATAACCTTATCGGTGAGATATGCAGGTATCACAGAGAGTAGCAACTGGTCTTGTCGATCCTTCAACGTTTCAAGTTGAGTGCGACGTTGAACTGCCTCGCTTAATCGCATCGCAATCTCCGAGCGATTACCGGCCTCACTCGCATCGGCAATCATACCGATCACTGACAGCAGTGCTTGCTCGATGAACAGTGCTAGCAACTGAATCAATGGATTTTTAGCTGATAATCTTGACTGATAAAAAGTTTTTAGGTGAAGTAGTTTTTGGTCACCGTGTGTCGTGAGTTAGTGTTACATTGGCTGAATGGACTCTGCTTTATGAACAATGAAAAATTACATATGAATACTGCATAGCTAAGATTTTGTTTGGATAAATCGTGCAAGTTTCTGAAAGCTGAGGATAAACATTATTTGAAGGAAGCAAAAAATTTTGCGACTGCTACGTATAATATTATATTAGTTATATGATATATTACTATTAGTTATGATATCTGCTACGTATTACTTATATCTGATTAGTTTGATATGATAATCCTCAATTCCTCTCGTAATGCCTAGTAGATCTGCAAAGAGATCAAATGTGTAGAAATGAATGGCATGCTAGACTTCTGTTCACAGCAATTCCCCTTCACAAATACGGATAGTTCTCTGGAACTGTGACTCTTCAATCGAGAACATCAACAGCAGTTGTCTTGGAGCTTTGAATCAGCAGGTCTGTGTGGAAGAATCAAAAGCCACAGAATTGTTCTATGAGATTTGTGTGTTATAATGGCGTAAATATGCTTGTTACAATCACTTTTTCTAAGAAACTTTTTTTTAAATCGAAGAATCATTCGGATTGGTTGTTCCAATGAATAACACCAAAAATAT